TCTCAATAAATCCCTATGTGTTTGCTAACATTCAACATATATTCAAGATGAATACTGCCAGCAACTCAGAAATAGACTAGAAGGACTTTACTCTGATAGAGTGTATCTACCAAAAATGTACACTGAACATCATGGTAAAATGTTGAAAATTTTCCATTTCTAATCCTGGAGAACACAAGGATGTCCCCAGTCACCAGTCCTATTCAACACTAAACTGGGTGCGTCTGCCTAATGCCATAAAAGAGGGAAATAAAAGATGTAATGTTTAAAATGGCAGGAACAGGGGCGCCTGGGCGGCTCAGTCGTTAAGCGTCTGCCTTGGGCTGGGGTCGTGATCCCAGGGTCCTGGGATCGAGCCCCGCATCGGGCTCCCTGCTCTGCGGGAAGCTTGCTTCTCCCTCTCCCACTCCCCCTGCTTGTGTTTCCTCTCTCGCTCTGTGTCTGTCAAATTAATAAAACATCTTTAACAAAGAAATAAAAATATAAAATGGCAGGAACAAAAATTAAGTAACTAAAAGAAGGTAAGATGGCAGGGAAAAAACTTATTACTCAACGATGATAGGATTATATATTTTGAAAATTATAAAGGATCGGAAGATAAACTTTGGATATTAATAAGCATATTTAGCAAGGTTGCTTGACAGAAAAAGCAATATACAAAAATTATGTCTTGTTTTCTTTGGGCAAATACCCAGTAGGAGAATTACTGGATCATAAGGTAATTCTATTTTTAATTTTTCTAGGAACCGCCATCCTGTTTTCCACAGCGTCGAATCACGAAATTATACACCTGAAACCCATGTAACACTGTAGGTTAGCTGTACTGGGATTTAAATATTAAACTTTAAAAATACAAATTTTCTGGGGCGCCTGGGTGGCTCAGTCGTTAAGCGTCTGCCTTCGGTTCGGGTCATGGTCCCGGTGTCCGGGGATCGAGCCCCGCATCGGGCTCCCTGCTCCCTGCTCGGCGGGAAGCCTGCTTCTCCTTCTCCCACTCCCCCTGCTTGTGTTCCTGCTCTCGCTCTCTCTCTCTGTCAAATAAATAAATAAAATCTTTAAAAAACAGTCACTGTTGATCTTATAAAGAATACATACACATGAAATTTCAAAAAAACTACTATTTTCAAGAACCTCAAATTCCTAGGAATCAATTTCACAAAAGATGTGCAAGACTTCTTTGGACGAAACTGCAAAACTTTATTGAGAGAATTTTAGCCACTTCTCAACACAAGAACAAAAGTTTATTGAGAGAATTTTAGCCACTTTTCAACACAAGAACAAAACTTTCCTGAGAGAATGTTAGCCACTTTTGCAACACAAGAACTGCCCACGTGGCTTCAGCTTGTCTTCGTTTAAACCTGTGGTTTCCGTTCACCTGTAAGAGAAACGTAACATTACTTTGCAGAACTTTATTCAGACAACACTAAAAGGCATAGAAATGACACTTTCTAATACCACAGAGAAAGGAACGGTTCAAGTTCGGAAAAGATTAAACCCGACGCATTTACTCAGGTAGTTCTGAATAGAAAGCAACAATTTCTTATACTGTTAATAAGACTCCAACCAACCAACAAGTAACCTAAGAAACAAAAGCAGCTTTGAAAAAGTTATCAATGAGGGCGCCTGGGTGGCTCAGTGGGTTGGGCAACTGCCTTCAGCTCAGGTCATGATCCTGGAGTCCCGGGATCGAGTCCCACGTCGGGCTCCCTGCTCTGCGGGGAGTCTGCTTCTCCATCTGACCCTCTTCCCTCTCGTGCTCTCTATCTCTCATTCTCTCTCTCTCAAATAAATAATAAAATAAAATCTTTAAAAAAAAAATTTAAAAAAAGTTATCAATGAAATGTTTTTATTTGAGAAAACCTTCAGAATATAAGATTATCTAAAACAGTAATGTCATGCTTGGAATTGCTTAAGTGAAATAAATAGAAAGGCTAGTATTGCATTTGTTTTGACTCTATTGTGGAAAGTGCAGAACTGTACTTTAAGCTAGTTTAGCCCTTAGGTGGTTGTTTTAAGTAGGGTGACCATCTGGCCCTGTTTTCACCCATATGTCTGCTGTAATTAGGAACAGTGCCTCTTTATATACTTAGGTGTGTGCCCGTCTGCACACATTATATGGTCACACCAGTTTCAAGGCATTTACCATCAAGGTAACATCAAATCCTGAAGGAGAAACAGTATCATTTCTCAGGGTGGCCAAAAAAAAGGGGGGGGAATGGGGAGAGGAAAAAAAAGAAACTGGAAAGCCAAATATATATTCAATATCTGTTACTGTCTTGTTCATATTCTTTATTGTGTATACTTGGCTTTTCTCCATTTTCTTCAAAATTATGTTAACTAGTGGATCCTCTCTTCATAAATATTTTCCAGAAGAGCACTCTCATTGATCTCTCTGTTAGCTGGATTCTTTTTCTTTTTCCTAATGATTCATACCAGTCTTTTATTAAGAATCTCTCCTTGGGGGGCACGTGGGTGGCTCAGTCGCCTAAGCATCCGCCTTTGGGTCTTGATCCCAGGGTCCTGGGATGGAGCCCCATGTTAGGCTCCCTGCTCAGCGGGGAGTCTGCTTCTCCCTCTCCCTTTGCCCCTCCCCCCTGCTTGTGCCTGTGCCTGGTGCTCTTTCTCAAAAAAAAAAAATAATAATAATAATCTCTCCATGGGGCACCTGGGTGGCACACTCAGTTAATCGTCCAACTCTCAGGTTTGGCTCAGGTTGTGATCTCAGGGTCATGATCTCAGGGTCGTGAGAGTCCACCAGCCTGTTTCTCCCTCTCCCCCTGCTTGTGTTCCCTCTCTCGCACTGTCTCTGTCAAATAAATAAATGAAATCTTTAAAAAAACTTTTAAGAAGTGGCTCTCTCTAAAAGTATCTGAAATTATCAGCTCTTGGCTAAAGAACTTACACGTAAAAGAAACTGTTTTCCTATTTTGTAATTTATATGGCATTGACCCAATCTATGCCTAATAGTCTGGAAGTCAGCCATCTGGGATCTGAACTACATTTCAAATAATTTTTATATGGGAACTCGGTTACTGAGGTAACAATAAAGTTACCTCTATTATTAAGTATATAACGTTGCGGAAAACAGACGCGCTATACTTTGCATGCTTAATGGATCACATACCTGCCTCTGGCATCTTAAGGGGCTCTAGATTTGCAAGTCCCCTCCGTTGGACATCAGGACCATCTCCCCGCTCACGCCCAGTCTTTTCACCCGCCAGTTCCTTTGGATTAGGCTCCGGGGCAGGCCCTTGAAAATTAAAAGGTGATCAATTTAAGAGGTAAAACGTGAGCTATGAATAAGGAAATACTATTCATTTCCTCAGTATTATGAAACAAAAGTCTTAGGCTAGTGTGGTAGTAAATGCGATAAGAATTACAAGAGCATCATTTCAGGGGTCCGTTACCAGAAACTAGTAAAGCAGGGTTTTCTTGCCTTTTTCCTTTTTCAAGACTGCCCTCAGACAGCTCAGGTGTCCCCCTTGTACTTGCCTATACTGTACTTGTGATTATACTTGCCAGTGACTTGAGTCTCTGACTAGACTGAGAGTTCAAGGCTGAAAGCATGTCTCTCAATACTTAGCATGTGATGTGGCAAGAGCAGACACCAATAAATGTCGAGGGGAAAGAAAAGTCTTGAAGCCCCAAATTGATAAGGATTCTGCAAACCAATTGCTTTGTCATCAAAGATGGGCAGAACCATTCCAGATTTAAAAAAATAAATAAATAAAGCTGTGTGTGGAGCACCTGGGTGGCTCATTCAGTTAAGCATCTGACTTGATTTCAGCTCAGGTCATGATCTCGGGGTCGGCAGATCCAGCCCCGTGCACATCTGCATCAGGCGCAGCAGGGAGTCTGCCTGAGATTCTTTCCCTCTGCCCCTGCCCCGCTCTCACTTGCTCTTTCATGTAAATAAATGAGTATTTTTAAAAAACTAAATGCAAACGCATGATCCTAAACTGGACTCTGGATCCAAAAAAAATCGTATGAAGGAAATTATCGGGACACCTGGGGAAACTGATTTACACTCTTTATCAAATGACTGCATTTTTCCACTGTCAAGTCTCTGTCCAGTGGTTAGCCCAGAGAATGACTTTCTTCGTTTGGAGGAGATGCACACACTTAGGTTCTTTGGGTAAAGGATCATAACAGTTGAACTTTATGTAAATGATTCATCAGTAGTCATAGTAATCATACACATATCGGTATCATACCATAAGGGTATGTGTGTATATGTAACGGAAAGGGACGAGGGTATGAAACCAGAGTGGTAAAACATAGTGACAATCGGTGACTCCAGGTGAAAATTTTGGATAACTATAAATATATATATATATAACTGCACTACCCTTGTAAATTTTCTGTAAATTTTGTGGTTTAGAACTACAAAGAATAAAAAGAATATATGACATTGTACTTCACAAGACAGTAGTTACTTCATTTTTAATTGTGGTTGAAAAATGTGTAACATAAAATATCCCATCTTAACCGTTTTCAAGTGTACAGTTCAGTATGGAGGGACTCTTTTGCAACATTAGTAGCAACTATGAATGGACTTTACATATGTTTCCTGTATTAGGAAACCTTTATTTTAAATGACAGTCGAAGCATAAACCATAATACATGTACAATTGTAGTATTTTGCCATAGCGTACTAAGAGCGGGGAGCAGCAACTCTACAGTCTGAAGTCTACACCGTGGGGAGGATTTGAACTACAATTAAAATGTCACTCTCTGAAGAATTAGCGGAGCGTATTTGCAGACCGATGGCAAATCTTATAGTAGTGACACCCATCCCCTTTTGGGGTAAGAGAAAACTTACTTTGTTAAAATAAAGTTATACTTAGGTCCAAAGGCCCTATGTGTAATGTTCCGTAAGTGAATCCCATGCACAACAAAGAACCAACAGGAAGAGCGAAGTTATTCGAGAGTAACGATAAGTATACTATTTTACAGTCAGAATAAAGGCAAGGTAGAAAGAAATGAACGGACATTGTGGTCAGTCATTTTCTTTCTAGAAACCTTTAACAGTGGCCTGAATTACGTGGAGATCTTCCTTCAAAATACTCTATGCTGGGAATACTATGCATCTGGGAGAAATAAATTGTCTCATATTAATCTCAGGATAATTAAGCTTTGGGATTTTCTTCTATGTCTTATTTATTGGAGAGAGTGAGTGAGCAAGTGAGAGAGAGAGAGAGAGAGAGAGAGAGAGAGAGAGCGCGCACGAGCAGGGGGAGAGGGAGAAGCAGACTCCCCGCTGAGCAGAGAGCCCGATGCGGGGCTCCATCCCAGGACCCTGAGATCATGACCTGAGCTGCAGGCAGATGCTTAACCAACTGAGCCACCCAGGGGACCCTCTTTTGGTTTTTCTAACCATAGAAAAATGTAAACTTTTAAGAGCCACTTTAAAAATACACAAATTTTGTTTTCAATAGTCAAATGGCTCTTTGATAAACACAATCCTTGAGCCTTAATTTTCTCATTTATAAAATGGGGGAAACTTACTCTACTGAGGAACCGCCCTAGGTTGCAAACTATATCCTCTTCACCATTCCAGCCAATTTCCAGGCAAGGTTTGAGATTCCTTTCTATTGTGTCTTCCTTTCTGTTACAAGTATATCGCGATGCGTGAAACGCACATACACTCACACACACACACCTTTCCCGTCACCTTGAACCACAGATGCTCCTTCTTTTTTCTCTCCATCAGGTATAATATCCGGACGCTCAGTCGGTGGCTCTTCCCCTTGAGGTTGCTCAGCACGAAGCAGCTGGGCCTAGGGGTATGCATATGTGTATGTAAACAGAAAAAAGTTGTGTCGTTAACACACATCAATGATATAAGTACCTAGCATACAATAGAAGATGGCAGGGTAGGAGGATTCTAAGCTCACTTCATCCCACATATACACCAAGCTAATGACCGCATACGTGTAAATAACCCAGAAAAAAGACCTGAAGACTGGCAGAACAGACTCTCCACAGCTAGTAAAGAGGTCACATAGAATAGGAATTTATACAATGGTTTAATGGCACCTCCACCAACAAAAATCTAAAGACATTTCTCCAATACTCTTCAATATACTTATTCTTAAATAAAATTGCTCTTCCCACAGAGGCTACTCCAAAAGAGCTTTCCTCAAAGGCTTTGGAAGCTACTTACATCGATGTTGGGATGGATGTGTGCAATCGGTTGTTAATAAGCATGAAAAAGTCATCAGGTATGTTTCCCAGGAACATAACCGCATCCATCCAGAAAAGAACAGAACGTAATGCTCCTGGATAAATGCTCCTTAGCATCGAAAGTCCTTATCAGTATATCGATACTAGTTTGACGTTTTCACAAAAATAAATTTGTACTAATAAAAAAACAAACGTTCAAGTACTTACAACCACAGGCCCAACTGGCTGCAAAGGTATTTCACCATCTCGTCTTGCTCTAGGTCTGAATGTTGATCTTACTTGCCAATTCATATTTCGCACTGAAAGCAGAATACTGGGATTTGGAAAATACACTTGACAAGACAGTTACATTTGACCGCTTCTGTGGCCAAAAGGAGACATGGGCTCTTTTTCTCAACACTGAGAGTATTTTTAAAGTTAGTCTAACGGTAATTTAATTGTCCATGCTCTCTAGTCACACCAAATCTGGCAGCTTGCAAAGGCAAACTGCTCATGTCATGGCCGGGCTGACAGAGAAATTAAGTTAGGCACATGATTAAGATAAGAATATATCTTGAAAGGGATCTGGTTTCACAACTTGATTCACCATCATGGAGACATTTAAGAAAATACCACCAGGGCGCCTGGATGGCTCAGCTGGTTAAAGCGACTGCCTTCGGCTCAGGTCATGATCCCAGGGACCTGGGATCGAGTCCCGCGTCGTGCTCCCCCTGCTCTCCGGGGAGCTTGCTTCTCCCTCCGCCTCTACCTGCCACTCCCCCTGCTTGTGCTCTCTCTCTCTGTCAAACAAATAAAATCTTAAAAAAAACAACAACAACAACAAAGAAACTACCACCAGAGAATTAAAAACTGAGTACCCGCTATCGTTGGCACACTCTGATTTACTAAGCCCTTTCTTTCCACACCTCCGATAAAGTTTTACTGGAATACTTAACCACGTTCGTTGTTGATAGACCGTCTCCAATTATTTTTGCACTAGAATTGCAGAGTTCAGTGCCTGCAATGAAGGCTACACATGGCACTCTCCTCTCTTGGTCCTCTGTTTGGTACACTTCGAGTCTCAGGGATGCAACCCCCCAACAATCCCCCTTTCTAGGGCGTTTCTTTTCCAGTGCACTTGCCACTTCCCCAAGGGCCCCTCAGACTCTGACAACTCCCGAGTCTGTGCCCTGTTGGCAGTTCCTTGTGCCCCCAGGACTCCAATACCTCAAATAATGCCAAGACAACTCGGTCTTCATCTGACCCCCCTCTATCCCCAGCTCACCCTCTCCCTCATCCTGCCCTGCCACCACATCAAGGGCCATGGTGGCTGTGACGTCCATAAGAAGACAGCCTCGAGGACTGTCCTCCTCAGGGGCTAGGAACCACTCTGCCCTGACCCCACCCCCCAAATATCTACTGGCACCCTCCTCACACTTACAGTGAAACTGTTGGAAAAACTGACCGGCCGACCCACCAAATGAGTCTCAGACTGCACGAAAAGAATCCAGACAGTGAGACAAGACCCACAGGGCTCAACACCCAGAAATCATTGCAATACCCCACACCTGAGGGTGAAGATGCAGCAGTGCAAGGCACGCACGCTGCTTCCCCACCCCCTTGCCTAGGCCACTGGAGATTCCTAAATTTTCCTTCTGTCAGCAATGCCGAGTGCCTCCATGACAGCCCCGACCCCTGTGAAAAGGAAGATCTTGAGGACTTTTTCCTCAGGCCTGGAAACCACGCCATCCCTACTAGCCCCAAAGCCGGCTGGCTGACCCCTCACACTCACTCAAACGTAAATTCCTAGGGAGACTGTCTGAGGACCTATCAATTGAGTCTCAGTCAGTGAGAAAGAATTCAGAGAGCACGATGCAAGGCACACAGCTTCACAACCAGAAGGCACGGCACTTGTCCCATGCAAATGGCCACCGGGAAAGAGCATAGCAGTGCGCCGGGGCACTGAGTCGGGCAGCGACCAGTGGGCGGGGCTTCCCCCACTCCTTCACCCGGGCACCACCGGGCATTCCCAAATCGGCCCTCCGTCAGCAGTTACTGGCACCTCCAGAACACACATACCTCAAACCAAGGCCCCAAGATGCCCGATCTTCATCTCACCCACACCCAAACAAGCCAACAAGGAAAAAAGGGGCCAGGCCTGCGGAGACAGGCAGAGAAAGAAGAGAACCTCGAGGACCTCCCTCCTTGGAAGCAGGAAACCACATCGCCGCTACCCACCCGAAGCCTGCAACTTCTACTTCACGCTTAAATTGCTGGGAGGACTGATCCGGAGACCTACCAATTGAGCCTCACACAGCAAGGAAGAATCCAGACGGCAAGACGCGACCTGCACGGGTCCGCATCCAGCCCGTACAACACGAAACCAACGCCAATGGCGGCGGATTTAACAGAACATGCTACTGCGCAGGCGCACTGACAACCGCGTGCACGAGGTGGCGGTTGGGGGGCGGGGAGGCTTCCCCACTCCCCCATCCCCGCAGCACTGACTATTCTTAAACCGCCTTCTGTCCGCAATTCTTAGCGCCTCCAGGACCTAGATACCTCACCTCGTGCTCGCAAGACACCCGATCTTCATCTCACC